AAGTTTTAATTATGTTGTCGGTCGTCGTGGCACGATCAGAGATTTACTAGTACATTGTCACAGATGCGAGCAAAAGTGATTAGCGACTAATTTAAACAAAAGCCGTGATTTTATAAGATGTTTAGGGACGTCATTGTCGTCATATTCATTGTCTTCAACAGCCACCCGCGAACTTGATTAAATGGGGGTAGAAATTAAAAAAAAATCAACGTGGACCCATTAAATTAGTAGATGCGACATATCCTTATTCTTTATAATGTTTAAAGTCAGCAACAGGGAATGTAAGTCTTTTGGAATAACAATTGCTTTACCGCTTTTTTTTCTAGGAACTTTGAATTGTAGAAGAAAATACCGGGAAGTTAACGAATTGCCTAATTAGTGGGAAAGGCCATTGAAAGTCGCGGTGGATACTTCGTACAATGTTTATTTTTTCTGCAACTATTTTCTTACTATTAGATCGAATTATGTCACACGAAACCAAGGACATGCGACCTCGAACTAAAAGTTGCAAGTGTCAATGAGTGACGTCACCCAATAATTAATTTTAACTGATACCATAATCTTGTAATGCAGTTTTGAAATGTCGATTATCGTTATTTACAATTACACACATTTATGTAAGGTGAGAATATAGAACATTTGCACCATACTCACCGTAAAGGGCGCTAATCACGCGTCCATTGAGCGACAACATTGTGAACACGCCAACTTTAGAGTCATAAAAGAAAACTATCTAGTAGTATCCTCGGGGCAGACATCCTGGCATTTTCACCGCTTCGCAACCTTCGCGGTGAAAACAAAGGCCGAAAACTCGCAGAAAACGGTACTTAGGGATGGTTGTTGAGACTCCCCTGAACAGTGTAACAAGATTAACCCTACGTGTGTAACATATAGATTTGGTTGTTCAGGATTACTTCAAAGTTGAGTTTGTGTTGTTTTCTCGAATTTTCACCGGCTCGACCGGCGTTCCACAGCAGCGCGCACAGAGCCCATAGAAATGCATGTACAGTGGTGCGCGTCTTAGCAACGTGGAACGTCTTGTGACGTATCTCCGCCCCCGAGGATGCCTTAAATATCTCGGCTAAACTTTGCTTGTTTCTGGATGCAGTCTAGGGCCCTCTTGCATGATGTGCACAATTCTTTTGTTTTTAATGGAAATTGATTGGAAATGTGGACAACGTTGCATACTTTGTAAGATTGTTTTATATAATCCTCTTTGATAAATGAATCTTGATAATGCCTTAGGACGTCATGATTCACTATAAAATTAAAATGTTTCCCTGTAAGCATGCGATTCTTTGTAGAAATTCTAGGGCATAATCAAGTTTTGTATTTTCTGGCAGAATTGTTTATTACCTTTATTTTTTGAATAGATATTCAATGCAATTTTTCTGTAAAATGTGTTCACTTTCCTGAGTTCATTCATGTCGTGGTAATATGGTGTAAGTTGCGCTACTTCATTAACAATGAAAATGCTCACTGGTAAAGTCAGAAGATTCAATAGCATTTCCAAATAAAAACAATGCAATATTTCATGTGATTAATTTAATACATATTTTCCCATCAATATCAAAGAATAAATGATTCGGGATGTCGTTGCCATGGATAATCATCTTTCGACTTTGAATGGCTAATCTTCTCGGATCATTCAATTTTGATCTAGTTGTTTGAAGCTTTTTAAGTTTCACAAAGTTAATTCCTTTATTCATATCAATTTGTAAATGCCAACATATCTTTTGGAATAGATATGACTTTGTGCAGAATAGGTCATTTCCCGTTCACTGCGAGATCCCGCGTTGTGCGTGAAATCGAACGTAAAAAAGACAAGCAAAGGTCATAGCGTCGTAGTGGCGTCAAGACATCGCGTAGGATTCGACAAACGCGAAAGCATTTTGTATGTTTTTTTCACGCTTGATAATGAACTATACAGAATTGATGATGGTTGATTTTGATGAATTTATTGTATCTGAACGCCATATTCACCTTCTGAAAAATCGAAATTTGGACTTTGGACTATACTATAAAATGAAATACAAGTTCAAAATCAAATCGTTTGTTTTTTTACGCTAAACGTGTCACCTTTATTTATGACTCTTCAAAATAAAAGCTAGTTTCTTTTCTACAAAATATTATTGTTCAAGACATCGGGTAGATCGTGACACCATGGAAGATACCTATATTGCAAACGCCTTTTCCAGTGGAAATCCAGGGTTGTTTATGATAAATTTCCCAATCTATCAAATACACGCACGCGCATTAAATTAATAGTACGTACCTATATATCAATGCTCATGCGCACTGCGTAGTTTGCGAGCCGTAGTTCATTCTCTCAGAGATGATGGTTATTTCGTGGTAGACAAAAACAACTATTTTAGTTTATGGTGTGTATTTTAACATGCAATACGGTCTAAAATATATTAATTTATGATAATCCATGTCTACTACATGTTGATGCCCAAAGTGGATTATAATTTATCGTAATTTTAAAATGTCAGTCAGCAAAATATGGCAATCATTAATATGCATGTATAGTAATTGTTATTTTACAATGTACGTACTAAAACCATCAGCGCACATGCGTATTAAAAAGGTGCAATGAATAGTTGAATGAATATTTGCTATGTACTACAATAGTACTCGCCTCTAAATTTCATAATTAGGCTCGGCCCCAGTCTCGTGTCTCTGTACTATTTCACTCTGTTATTGTCCTGAAATTTAATAACGATATCGTTGAGGGCAGCATAACAAACACTAACAGCTACTCGCGGTCGTGGGACAGTCATATACTAGTAATACATCATAATATACAGTGTCATCGGCGGTATTACAAATTACGTGTTCTTATTTATATTTCATCTTTAATATTCAGGATTTAGCATATATATTATTATCCATATCTAAAAAGATATTCGACTGTCAGATTTCATAGTGCTTCAATTAACCAGGCGACACAATTTGGAATTTGAATGAGTGAAAAATATATGTAAGATTACGCCTCAAAATGGACCTCCCTCTGCACAGCTCCACCAGCGGCGGGGCCAAGTACAACTTTTGTTTTTCTTTGCTCTTTTTGCGAGAGTTCAAGTGGAAAGGCGTCGGTTGTAACTTGTCCTCAAGGCTAATTACCTTAAGCTATGTTGATGATAAAATTGAAAAAGAAAGTCTTAAACTTGGCAAAATGACGTGAATATTGATTTAGCTGGGCATTTCGTTGTGATCACGATGGAATGTGCTGCATCACAGTCTAACAAAACCATACAGCAAGCGGCTCACAACATATGCACACATGCAATATGAACGAACGCATGTAATATGTAATAATGTTGTTTGACACTGTATGTCGATGAATTAGTATGATTCATCGTAAAACTAAATCGTTGTTCAAACAAACCACTAAATCCATCCTGTGTTTGTGAAAAACTTCAAATAAAGACCTCCTGTTTATATTAAAGCGGAGGAGTCGTCACCTGCGCATGCGTTAGGTGGCCATAGCGTGTCATTGTTTACAAACAAGCTTCTACTCATAAGCCTTTGCGTTTTTAGCGTGTGTTGTTATCGTCGGTTGGAACTCAATTCCCGCGCGTGCGCAGGTGACGACCCTCTCGCTTTAACTACCTTCTGGCAGTCCCAATTCAGTTTAACTGTAACGTGATCATAGTATAAAGACCGCCTTTGCCAGTCAGATGAGTGACACCTTCTTTGTCATGTGTTGGTCCCATATAGCCAAATTGTTTGAGTAAAAACTGAAAGTTGACGCAAATTGTGTCTGTTGGCTTCAAAATTAGGGTTCATTTTCAGAAATATTGAAGAATATGGAAAAAAAGTGCGGAAACATTTGGGAGAAGGTCTGGTAGTGAAAAGGTGAAAACTCATTTGTACTGCAAGTATGTACATGTACATTTTATGGGGGAGGAAAGAATCTCCAACTCGATACTGAAAAATGTTATCGAAAATTTGGTTAGAAATAAATTTTGCCAAAAAATGTTGCTTAAACCTAATATAAGTTGGAGATTTGTTTTCCTACCAAATTAATTTAATCATTTTTACGTTCAAAAATAAATAAATGGCTACTATCAACTCATATCAATAATAAATAAACAATATATCGTGTGATATAAACACCTCATGTCCAAGCATTTGTTGTTGGCAAGTTGAAGAGTCAATATTCTTACTTGATACATTCAACTATTATTAAACTGCACAGGGGGTATTAAAAGGCGGCGGTCGTCGCGCTGTTCGATATGGGTCTCATAACCGTGTACAATCACTAATTCATTTGGCAAAATATATCTTTGAGTGCTTCAATTTAAGAAGTGACACTCATAAACAAAAATACCAGCTGCCTTATAATATTTATAATTGAAATATATATCATTAGGATACTTTTTCTGTTTTGTTTTTCTAAGCAGTCCTTTTTATTTATTTATTTTATCTTATTATGCTTTCATTTTGTCTTTAAACTCCCAAATATTTTGTCTTGCCATTTTATATGTATCTGAAACTTTATAGAATTTTACAAATTCAGACTCTGAACAGGATATGATTTCAATAAAGGCATTATTATTATTATTATTATTATTATTATTATTATTATTATTATTATTATTATTAATATTATTATTTTATCGCCATATTTATCCTTTGTATCATATTTAGATAAATATTTATAATGATTTATTGTATCTAGAATGGTGGAAAAAAATAATTTCTGCGGATTTTGGCATGCAGTATCAAACAATACAATACAGCTCATGATAGTTTATTCGATACTGGATACGTCTATCCCCCCCCCCCCCTAAATTTTCAATTCCTCATTTTTCTATTGGTAAAATGACGCATGAATTCCATAATACATAACTACTGAAGCTTTGTTGGATTTAGCCTGTGACCCTGATTCAAATCCATCAAAATAACGTGCCCAGTTCTCGATAATCTCGTGTATCGCGAGTTCACCTGTACTATTATCAATGCGCTTGCGCAGAACTATTAGTTGCCGGTCTCTTGATCCGTTTTGGTGTCATGTCACCTGCAAGAACGTGAAAGCTGAGTGAATCCCTATCAAAAATACTACGTGTATTCGGATCAGTCAATAGCTATTTTATTTACGTTGACCCGATAACATCACTAATTTGTGGTGACTTCTTTGACGAGGTTTGGACACATTTATTGGATAAATTGTAAAAAAAAAACCCAGCTGAGCTCGGAATTGTCTGTCTGAACTTGTAGGAATTCTGATAAGCGAGTAAAGCGGACAATTTTGGTTTTCTTGTTAACATTTTATGTGCGGGAACACCATGTCTAGTCCTGTTGTTATACCGGCAGCTTCCAAACACTCCGCCACGGTAAGTTACCATAACTTGTTTTGCAAAACGCCTACAGACAGTCTGTATAAAATGTCACAGTGTGAGACATCTAGAAGATACGGCGTCGGCGTCGATGTTGCTGTTCCTGGCGATAAACGCTCAGCATCCTTCAACCGCTCATCTTACATCGAGATGGACCGGTGTGGGGTGCAATCGATAAATTTATAGAATATTTGAAGCAGAACGGAAAATGTATTTAAATGTACCACTAACAAAAATTAGAAACAAAAATGAGCACATTAAATCATTCAAATATTGTTATGCTATGATTCACGTACATGCGAGTCATTCATATTTAAGGTTTTACGGAGAAAGAAGGATATGTTTTCAAGAAAACAGATATAAAATTATCTAAAAAAACATTTTTCATAGGATTCCATGTAAACAGATTATTCTATGGATATTTTATACGATATTCTAAATTGTCTAATTTTTCTCAACAGCCATATGTGACCCTTATAACTACATAGCACATTTTTTGACCATAGGACACCAAACAAAATTTTGGGATATGATGGAATGTTTCTGTTGTGGGAACCAATTATAAACTACTCAAAACACGTGCGTATTTTTGATACCAGTAAATGTATTTTCATCTCGGAGCACTGTAATAATCCATCCCTTCTTGCTGAATTTCAAGGATTCCTGTTTTTTCAATTGTAGCAAACTACCTTAATATCAATGTATCAGGAATGCTCACATTTTTGGTGAAAGTGCAAACTATCACATATTAATTAAATTTAAACAAATTTATGTTGAACATTTTGTTAATTATTTTTTTTTGGGGGGGGGGGGGCAGTTCCTCACCCATAGCCTGAACCCTCACCCTAACTAACACCCCAGTCCACCAATGTAATTCAATATACCCCTCCAAAAGCTACAAATGACCCGATAAAAGCTATATAAAATTGAAATGGGCAGGGCAAAGTGTGGGTGGCACTTACCCTTTTTTGTATATCATTTGTTAAATTTGGACCCCAAAAATTAGCCAAAACAAAATTTGTGTGTTTTCGGTGACTGTCCAAAAAAATTAAAATTTTCATGTTTTATTCAGTAAATTACTGCTTTAAGGCACTCATGTGTGCATTGTCTCTGGGGTTGGGATTCTAGCTGATTTTATTTCCTGAACTTCATTTTTCATCCTTGTCGATATTATGTACGAAAATGTACAAAGGAAAATACACAGCAAAACACACTGAATGATCATAGTACTGTAAGCACACTAATTATTAACTGGTTTTTAATTTTGCTATTTTTTCTGATAAGTAAAATCCGCTATTAAAATTAAATTAAATTGAACATGTAAATATAACAATAGAACTTATTGTTTCCATGCCAAGTTTGTGAAATTCAAAACCCTGTGAAATTGCTCAAAATATCAAAATAGTAAACTTTTATGCTAGTAAAAATAAATTGTTTTACAGTATTAAACCTCATCGTTGATTCATGAAAGCCTCATCGTAAAGTTGTTTGTTTATTTATGTATCACTGAACATCCATTGGGATTGGATGGAAATAGATACCTTAGTAGAAAGTAATACAAACTACATAAAACAAAAATGCTGAAAAGAAATGGTTATAAATCACTACATTCTCAGAACTTACAGCATGGTTTTCACGCAACTTGATGTGCACATTTACTACATTACCGGTAATATCGCATTTACTGCATATTGTATTCTCATCACATATTCCGATCGTGTATTTTAGCACAGTTGATTGGGCATCGTATACACTGGTTCAGCTAAAGTTATATTATTTTTTATTAGATTATTTCTTTAAAAGAAAGGTCTCAATAGACATTGGTGACCTTGGAAGTCAGATGGTGATGTTTGTTATTTCACAGTTAAAGTTTAGATCACCTTTCATGGTGATTAAAATGTAGGACTTAAAAATGTGATGCAAGTAATTAAAAGGCAATACTAGAGTCAATGCCAAGCTACTTGCAAGACTGTACCTGATTGGCTATCCAACCATAACACCTAACAGATGGACCAATCAGAGAACAGCTTGTATGTTGATAGGTTTTTTTGATGTATCAAATTTAGCCAAGCATATATGTTTTGACTCAACTTAATTTTGAGGTATATGATGGATGTCATTTGTTTAGATAATAAAGACTTTCAGAAGGGGTTTTAAATTAAAATTTTTCAATGATGTCAACATTGCCGATGTGACTGTTTTTTTTCCATGATCCTTCCAATTGATGTGCTTCTTTGGAGATGTGCTTCTATTGGAGATGTGCTTCTAATAGAGCAAATACGGTACCTGTACATGTACAGCTGGAAAGTCTGCTAAGATAAGATAAAAATGGGATTACAATAAAATCTCTAATGCATTCAGCGGCTAACAGAACTAAATCAATTTGCTTAAGAGCATTTCTTCTATTTTGTATATTCATGTTTTCATTACCATTTTCACATTTTTTTTTTATGCCTGAGGCGAATTTTCTGGCGATAAACAAAAACTTGTAGCAGTCGGTAATCTTATTGTTGCTGTCACAAGAGCTTGGATGCATACCTCTGTTGCCCTCAAATCTGGAGACAATAAATTAGCATATTACAATGATGCAACATGAGTGTTTAAAAGTACTTATATATTGCTTTTATGTGTAACAATTGATGATCATATTTATGATATATGGTATGCGTACTTTGCATGCACATGTTCTCTCCAGGGTTTTGTGAGCAAGGGGCAATGAGAAACTACATTATTCAAACGTATAAATTTCCACAGAGGAATTAAAAATGTTTACACAACAAATAAAATACATGTAGCTGTCAAAGAATTTAAAAAAATAATGTACGTTAATTTATATGTAAATTATGCAATTAAAAACATACGAGAAATAATAATAATGAAGGGGATGCATTTGCTGATTCTTGTGATACGAAAGTATATAGCATTACGGTTACAATATTTCATGAAATGCAACGATTTTATGACTTTCCTAAGTTTATTTTGGTTTCTGCAGCACTTATTCTGCCAAGTTATAATTGCAAGTCAAGAGCTAATAACAAATAATTATAAATTAATTAATTAATTATTTATAAATTATTTAATGCTCCTCGTGTAGTATTTGTTACCACAAAGGGGCCACTGCACCATGTTAAGGGAGAAAACTGCACGCATGCATGAAGTACTGTATACCATGTTATTCCAGAAGAGAGCAAAAGTCGGTGAAAATCGTGAATTGCCATAGCAATTAAAGTTTCTTAGGTGTCCTTATTGTCAGCATCTTTCATGAAAATTGGTCTTTATGAATGCCATAAACTCATTAAATAAACAAAATTCGCAGCAATTGAAAAATTCAGAGGTTTACACTACAGATGGAGAACCTGAAAAGTCATACTGTTGATGCACTGTTGCCATGCAACCAATTTTCCACAAATTATTAAAAAGAAAGCACTGTCACTCATATGCACACTATTCTTCAGGGAGTTCAGTATGTATCAGTTACTTATTACTTGAATCCCATTGGAATATGGCAACAACTGTTGCTATTGAATGGTTGGATAACGTTGATTTGAAACCAATACGTGTTTCTGGTAAGACTGAGAAAAAAAATTATTGTTTCCAATAACCATAGCTACAAATACATGTTTTTGTGTTTTGTTTTTTTTCAAATTAGTCATGTTTCACTCATAATGGTAAATGCGTAGTCTAAAATAAAACCCTACAAAAAAAAAACTCAGCTGTCGTCTCGGTATTTTCTAAGCCCTGTTACTGGAAACTCTTTGTTGTCTTCACGAAGCCAACCTTGAAATACTTATCCGATGATTCAATGAAATATGTACATATAATAATAATAATAATAATTTTATTAATACATACACATTCCCCGGAGGCAGTGGTTAAAAATGTTTAAGAAAGAATAAAAGGTTAAAAAAAATAAAAATAATTTATAATGGAAAAATAAAAAAAATCTAAGCTAATACATAACAGAGAAAAAATATTAAGACTAAATTATTATACATGTACTACATGTATAAAAAGATAGAAAACAAAATGCAAAACTTAACTGTGAAAAAAAATTATCACTGGGGTTGCCGTCTTATTTCAAAACACTTGTTTAGGTACCTTGCTACAGGGAGTGTTAGACCACTGTTGTTTAGCAAGGCTATGAATTGTCTTTTGTGACAAACTTTTTAAAATTTTGGTTTTTGCTATTTCATATGATGGCAGCCATCACATCCCATAATATTTACTGATGCGGTTGCTTTGTATGCTGTAATTTTTCCGACAAATGTTTATGGTGCTTTCATTTTTCATGAATTTTTATTTATTTATTTTTTCCACTTTCCCCATTCACAATTTTTGGAAAAAATGAAAAAAAATTGTTTTTTTATGAAAGGTTGACAAAACTTGGCTTTGACATTTATTGATTAAAATGAACATGGAGGTACAAAAAAAAGATTGGAAAAAGATATTTCCTGAGAACAACTCAATTTTGTTTAGCCCCAAAGGCTACATTTATTAAATATTGAGAGTTGTTTAAATTATTAATATCATTGAATAAACTAAGAGATAAAATCTTGGTTATGGTATGCTGGAATTATTTAACACACGATCATACAATTTTATTATTCTATCATTATAGATCTACTCTCTCAAGTGTCAGACAGTTATTAATTGTAGTATAAGGTAGTAACCATGAAGATTTCCATGATTAAAGATATTTAATTAAATTTGTTTATATCTCATATGCTTCAGGATATAGGAGAGACTAGATCAATATATTGGATACTTTGTTTGCTTTAACCCAAGAATGCCATAATTTTCCCGCAAACACTTTTGTACAATAGTTTGTTGGTTTTTATGTATTTGTCTATAATTTCTTCATTAATTTTCAACCAAATAGAGATAATTCCTCGTCAGCTACAGATCATAATCAAAACTTTTGGAAAAAATAAATAAAAAATTAAAAAAATTATGCATGTTAATCTTTTGAGAGGTGGAAAATGTTGACTAACAGAATC